GTGTGTGAGGCTGCCCGTTCTCCCCATGTGCCTTGCTTATATCTACTTGGCTCTCTCCCTGCTGGACTGAGCGCTGGCACCCTTTCTTCCTCTCGGCATTCTGAGTGCCCAGCGTGAGTATCCCGTTTCAAATGAGCGTGCAAGTATGTGCACCTCCCTCCAGCTAGCACTCATGCTGGGATGTGTGTGATTATCACCAAAGTAGCAACACCGGGCCCTAGAAACAGCACAGGCTATTCAAATACGTGCTCAGGAGAGTCCCTCTTGCGGGTTTCGGCTCTCTGTGGAAGAGTCACGCATCACTTACCAATGGGACACAAGTAAATGAATGCCATGGAGCGCCCTTACACAAACCTAGTGTGCCCATAGGCCACAGACTCCTATGGAGCCATCAAGGTTTATCTGCAGACTATAATGTCCTTATATGGCCTGGCCTGGCAGTCCAACCCAGCACACCCTGGAGCCGCATCTACCTGCTTTAGGGCTAAAGTCACAGAATCTCTGCCCTTTTCCTGTGTGAGCTGAGAGGCTCCTCATGTGGAGCTTCCTGTCCCTGGAGCAGGGCCTCACTTTGCTCTCTGTAATTGCTCAGCTCTGTCCTTGCTGGCTGCATCCTTACCCCCCACCCACTCCCACCCCCGCTCTCCACACACTCAGACACCGCTGCTGCTGAGATTTCTGGGGCAGGACTTGTCAGTGGAATGGGAGGACCTCTAGGCCGCAGATCCTGGCCCTTGGGGCTGTTAGAGACCCGGCAACACCAGCAAGGATGGAGACAGTGGCAGGAAGTGGCTAGTTCCTAGAGGGGACAGGACAATAGAGGAGCTTGAAGGAGCAGTGTTGGGGAACTATTGAATGTAACACAGTGAGGCCCTTTGGTGACAGGCATGGAAGATGGGGAAGGTTTAAAGCAGAAAAGGCCCTGGTCCCAAATAATATCACTTGGTAACGGGGGAGGTGGGAACGGTGTACGTGGTGTCTCCTGTCCTAGTTACGCCTTCTCCTAGCTGCCTTACCTCAGACATTATTCAGAGTTGTGCTTATGTGGGTGGTGGGACAGTATGGTCGTCCTTGAAGCACCTCTGTCCCCAGACAGGGCTGGCTACAGGGAAAGTCCGGATAGCTAGTTCACGGGGCATTGGTTATCTGTAGCAGTAAGCCCTGATCCTTTGCTCTTACAGGAATCAGCCTCCTCATTCCCCCAGACGCCATCCCCCGAGGAAAGATCTACGAGATCTACCTCACACTGCACAAGCCAGAAGACGTGAGGTGTGGGCCTGGGCCTTGCTGTGGTGGTGGGGGGGGGCTGGGAGGGCACCCGCCAGCTGTCCTGAATCACTTGAACACACACATGCACACATGCGCGCGCACACACACACACACACACACACACACACACACACACACACACTGCACTGAGCCCAGCCCTGCTGTACCTGTCCTGACCTTGTTGTGGTGAGGCGTTGGGGGGGGCACCCGCCAGCTGTCCTGAATCACTTGACCACACACACACACACACACACACACACCACACCACACCACACCACACACACTGCGCCCAGCACTGCTCTGCCTCTTCTGACCAGCCCTGAGGGAGGACAAGGATGAGGCACACTTAAGCTCCCCCTGCTCTGCAGCTCCTGCCCCTAGGGTTCCACTCACCCTACCCAAAGCTCATCCCCTAGCTTCCCCCTCCCCTACTCGTCTCTAGGACTGTCCACTGACGCCTTTCCCTCCCCACCCATATTTCCCCACTTGAGGTTGCCCCTAGCTGGCTGTCAGACCCTGCTGAGTCCCATCGTTAGCTGTGGGCCTCCAGGAGTCCTGCTCACGCGGCCTGTCATCCTTGCCATGGACCACTGCGGAGAGCCCAGCCCTGACAGCTGGAGCCTGCACCTCAAAAAGCAGTCCTGCGAGGGCAGCTGGGAGGTAAGCAGGGAACCGTATCTGAGGCCACCCAACCCAGACACTGGCCTCAGAGTGAGCCTGGCCTCCCATTCTTTCGACCACTGTAGCCACTCTGTGGTCCTTAGTCTCCCCTAGCTCCGGCCGCTTCTGAGGCTGAGAGAACTCCTCAGCTGGTTAGGAGCTGACCCTTTAGGTCCTGCCCACAGGATGTGCTGCACCTTGGTGAGGAGTCGCCCTCCAACCTCTACTACTGCCAGCTGGAGGCCGGTGCCTGCTATGTCTTCACTGAGCAGCTAGGCCGCTTTGCCCTGGTGGGAGAGGCCCTCAGTGTGGCTGCCACCAAGCGCCTCAAGCTCCTCCTGTTTGCTCCCGTGGCCTGCACCTCCCTCGAGTACAACATCCGTGTGTACTGCCTGCACGACACCCATGACGCGCTCAAGGTACTTCTGCCTGCCCTCCCGTGGGCTGACCACCCGGCCCTGTGCACACAGACTGCCTTGTCTTGAGGGCAGCAGGGAGGGTCACCCCCACTCTCGGGCCTGGCTGACCTCTGGGTCCCGCAGGAGGTGGTGCAGTTGGAGAAGCAGCTGGGTGGACAGCTGATCCAGGAGCCTCGTGTCCTGCACTTCAAAGACAGTTACCACAACCTACGCCTGTCCATCCATGATGTGCCCAGCTCCCTGTGGAAGAGCAAGCTCCTGGTCAGCTACCAGGTGAGGCCCATGCCATGGCCAGAGCACCACAGTCTGGTGCCAGGCACACTTGATGCCTCCTCTTTGTCCCTCTCCACAGGAGATCCCTTTCTACCACATCTGGAATGGCACCCAGCAGTATCTGCACTGCACCTTCACCCTGGAGCGCGTCAACCCCAGCACCAGTGACCTGGCCTGCAAGGTGTGGGTGTGGCAGGTGGAAGGCGACGGGCAGAGCTTCAGCATCAACTTCAACATCACCAAGGTGGGCAGAAAGGCGGTACGCTCCCACTACCACCTCCCTCCCAGAAATGCGCCATCTCTGGGCCTAGCTGCCAGCCTGCCACCAGCCCTCCTGACTCCTTCTAACTTCTTCCAAGTTGCTGGAGACAGAGGTGCAAGTGCAAATGAGCCGTGGGGAGGGGGATCACACAGGGTAAGGAGCGGGTAGACTTGGCCTAAGGCCCTGGAGGGGCTTTGCCCTGGGCCCTAAAGGGTAAGCAGGAGCAGGAGTCTGAGAGGCGATGGGGTGGAAGGGGCATTTTGGGCAACAGGAACTGAGTGGAGCCGTGTGGTGAGAGAAGAGTGATAGGTGTGGGGTGGCCAGCAGAGCAGAAGTGCTGGGCGTGGGGGGAGTGGGGTCGGCGGGGGGACACGACAGGAGACTTCCTCCAACACCAACTGTGACTTTGGCCAGGTGACTACATCTCTGAGACCCAAAGAGTAGGGTCCTGGGTCATGAGGGAGGATGCCCAGTGCCCCTGCTGTCCCCATGATCCAGGGTGCTCTGGGAACTCCCTCAGCAGGGGCAGCAGTGGGCCAAGTTCTAATGGGCACCTATTACATACCTCACATAACCCAGGACACGAGGTTTGCTGAACTGCTGGCTCTGGAGAGTGAAGGGGGGGTCCCTGCCCTGGTGGGCCCCAGTGCCTTCAAGATCCCCTTCCTCATTCGGCAAAAGATCATTACCAGCCTGGACCCACCCTGCAGCCGGGGTGCCGACTGGCGGACTCTAGCCCAGAAACTTCACCTGGACAGGTGGGTGGAAATAGGCAGAGTGGGACTGGTAGGGCAGCTGAGGCAGACAGGAGGCTTACAGTGTCTGTGCCATAGCCACTGGTGGCCAAGGTGGTGGGTGTGTTTGAGGGGATGCTTACCTTTGGTTAGACTGGGGGCATGACAAGGTCTGGAGGGAGGCCAGACTACTGACAGACTGTCTCTTTGCAGCCATCTTAGCTTCTTTGCCTCCAAGCCCAGTCCCACGGCCATGATCCTCAACCTATGGGAGGCACGGCACTTCCCCAACGGCAACCTCGGCCAGCTGGCAGCAGCTGTGGCTGGACTGGGCCAGCCAGACGCTGGCCTCTTCACAGTGTCAGAGGCCGAATGCTGAGACTAGCCAGGCCGGTAATGCCTACACTCTCACCAGCTTTGGCACCTGCCAGGGACAGGCAAAAGCCAGACAGGGGCCCTACCCCCACACTCGGGGAGAGCTGCTTGGACAGGCCCCCTCCTGGCTGAAGTTGTCCCTTAATGCTGGTCCTTCAGACCCTGCCCAAATTCCATCCCTCCATGGCCTGCCTGGCCAGGTTGGTATAGCCACCTGCTCTCACTCTGCCCTGGTCCCAGGGCCCAGAGTGGACAGTGCCTGGAGCCTGGGCTGAGCCCAGCCCATCTGTGTGTGTGTGTGTATAAGCGTGTGATGCTACCTCTCCTCCTGTCCCTTGCCAGGGGCCCCGCATACACACAGCATGCGCACACATGCTGGGCTTGGGACATGGCCCCAGAGCTCCTGCCTGAGGTGGGCCTTATGCAAACATTTCTGTGCCTGCTGGGTAGGGGTATATTTGAGGGGCCTGGCTTCAAGCCTGGGGGACTAAGGACCCCAGCTGGACAGGGGCTGGCCCTTGGATTCAGGCACACGATCACCACACAGGCATGTGTTCACGCGTGCCTCGTGTGCTCATCTCACACGCACCCCTCTCCAGGTCATGCAGGACCCTCCCCCACTACACACATCTCATGCTGTGCACCTGGAGGCTGCTCACGTCTCTCACATCTGGTGTCGGTACACATCTGCCTCTCACATGCTGCCCTTCTCCCACCCACCCAGGGACACCCGACGGCTCCTCCCTGATCCTTTCCCTGTCCCCAGCCTCGAGGTGCCCTGCCCAGCGGGGCGTGTGAATATGCAATGGGAGTCCCGGGCTGTACAATGGCAAGTGTGTGTGCCGTGGCGTGCCCATTCCTGGGGCTGGCCAGTGCCCCTGTGTGGGGCCTGTCGTGTGAAGCTTGTGTCCTGACTCTGTCTTACGTGCATTCGTGCACTTACACTTGGCCTTATGTACACAGCCTTGCCCGGCTGCCGGGGCACGTAGGGATTTTAGCGGACGTGAATGTAAATAAATTATATATATATATTGCTAACCAGAGTGTTACTTCTCTCAGCCATTGGGTGTGGACAGATGTTTATAAGGGAGTCACACATGGCTTGCTTTGGGGGCGTCACGGGTGGCTGGGCCTGCTAGGGGATCAGGCTAGGCTGAGGTCTCATTCTGGTGAGACCCCATCGTTCCCAGATATTCCCTCAGGCGCTGGCCTTCTCGGCAAGGCGACAGGCAACAGCAGTGACCAAAGCTGCACCTTTACCAGACCCATCCTCTGATTGCAAAAAGGTGACCTTGCAGTGAGGGGCTAGCTTCTGAACTGTAGCTGACACCAGCTTGGAGAAGCTGTGAAGACAAGAGGCTGAGGTCAGCCCAGGCTAGCCCAGCCCACTTGGCCATGCCTCCCTGTCTGACCCACCCACCCGGACTCACTGAGGGTGTAATTTGTAGAGTGTCCCATCTACACCCACGGACACTGTCAGCTCCTGCAGGCCCCGGTTCTCCCGCATCTTTTCCACCACCGCAGCCACACCTGCCCCACAGAGTTGGGCAGCCCTCTGGGACACAGCCTGGCACACCTCTAGGACCATCAGGGCATCGTCAGAGGTCAGGGGCAACCCCAGATCTTCCAGGATGGCTCGGACCTGACGCAGGGCCAGGCTGCCACTGAAGCCAGGAAGGAACAGAACGGAGAATAGTAAGGTCCTTGCGTTAGCTCCCTCTCTCAGGGTTTCTCCCACCTAACCCTTGAGTGGTTCCCCTAACTACCAGCTGCATCCAGCACCCCCCCCCCCCCCAGTGACAGACTGCCTTGCAATGCAAGCACCTTTCAATCTCCGAGAGAAATTTGGTCTTGAAGATGTCCTTGGTCTGAAGGCTTTGAGTCATCTCGCCCCGGAAGAGAACGCCGAGACCTGTTAGATGCAGGAGGATGTGGCGGACGATCTCCCCCAGGTACATGCCGCTGATCATCTTCTCAAACCTGTATGGAAGCACATACATACCCACGTGAAGGAGCCGGCCTCATCAGCCGTGCTCACCAGGGCAGCCCACTGCTCACCTCCCTGCCTGCGTGGGCCTCAGCCATACCTCTGTTTGCCTGGATTGATGGATGCCTGGTCCACACTATCATCAAAGCTGGTGAGGAACATGCCCAGTGAGCCATCGTCCCCAAAGGCACCCCACTCCATGTTGATGCACATGTGGCCCGAGTTCCCAGGCACACTTGTCACATTCTCGAGCTCTTCCATATAGCAGGCGTTGGTACCCGTTCCTGTAGACAGGCCAGGGTGAAGGGGTGGGGGCTGCTTACTGACACAGACAAAGCCCTTATGGGTTGTGTTCAGAGGGCTTGAGAGCCTTACTCCCCTGCCTAAACCCCTCCTAAACCCACACCAAACATCAAAAGGTAGGCTCCGATCTTCCCACATTCAAAGCTTGCCCCGGATCCTGGTCTCCTTTTCTGACATTTCTGATGGAGACCTTGTCAGTACCAAAGCCTCAGAACTTCCTCGGCTACCCCTAACAGCACCAACATTAGCGCATCTCCCTGTGCTGCCATCAAGCACGTCCTTCCCCGGGAGATGCGTGCGGCTCCACTCCAATGCTGGTAGAGGCTGAAGTCTCCTGACTGCCTAGTGTGCCTTTGACTAAATGGAGTTGGCCAGGAGCTGGGGATGCAGAACACTGACACAAGGACCCCCTGCCATCTGGCCAGAAATTAGGCAGTGAATGGCTTTCTCTGATGGTCCTTCCAGGTCCTAAGAGAACAAAAGGAAGAGCATTGTGGGGCACTGGGACACAGGGGCAGCTTCTTTTTTTCCTACAAGACTCAGAAAAGCCACACAGAGGAACAGGGAAAGGCAACTCCCTCTGTCCCTCTACACCAGTGGTTCAAACAACCCTTTCCCAGAAGTCACCTAAAACCATCAGAAAACACAGACGTTTACATCATGATTAATAAGCAGCAAAATTATAGTTGTGAAGTAGCAATGAAAATAAGTAAAGGGTCTCAGCATCAGGAGGATGAGAAGCTCTACAGGTTTCCAGTGCTGGGTAAGTGGGCCCCTTGATAGCCCCACCCAGGGTTTATCTAATAGTTTGTACGTCTCCAGGGCACCTACCATGAGAGGTCACCATAGACTAAGAGTATATGTATATCATGCTCAGGGGGCTTGAGAGCCTTCCTTCCCTGCCTCTCACTCCTCCTTTAGAGCCCCATCTTCCCCTTGTTCCAGGACTGCTCCCTTTCGGATCCTAGCCTGTCAGCCCTTGGGTATGGAGTCAGAGTCAGCTCTAAGTGCCACAGGCTGTTCTGGGCTTAATCCCCTCTGGATTCTCCATTCTGAGAAGATAGAGTCCTTTATATGTCATCTGGCCCCTTTGTCCAGATGCCAGATAGCCCCAGGGTAAGAGCTTACTGATATCTCCTGACTATCTGAAGACCCCTCACAAGTCACTGGCCTGCCACCCCTCCCCAGCATCAAGCACTGAGTATGCACCATGAGCCATCGCTGTACATGTCTGGCCCCTTCTCATCCCACTCTCTCAACCTCTTGTCATCATCTATAGTTTAGGATGAGGAAATGGAGACTTTAAGACTCTCGTAGACCCAAGGTAGGAGCAGCAAAGCCAGCCTAGTACAGATTCATGTAACAAATGGGCAAACTGAGGTTGGGGAAGATTCAGTGACTAAACTGGTAGCTAACTTGGATGAAATGCCCTAGTTCCAGACTCATAGCAGTTCAGTAGCCCAGAAGAACTCTGTTGGATCATACAGAAATAATTCCATGTTCCCAGGGTCAGAGAAATGTCCAACCTACGGAATCAACAGAAGGCAATGAATTATCAGGCATTGGAGCACAAAGAGCAAGACCCTCCTTACCGACAATGAGGCCTATCTCACAACGGGGATCATCATAGCCACAGGACATCATGGTCCCCACAGTGTCATTGACAATGGCAACCACATTCAGGTCCACTGCCTGCACACAAAAAGATGCTGCTAGTTGCTGGGCAACATAGTTGTCATGGCAACCAGCACTGGACTCAGGTCTCTATTGTAGAGGACCCCTTTGCTCCCCTCAAGGAAGCAAATAATACTTTGCTCCCCTCCAGGTTTGTCACAACCCCAAAAGCACCCCCGGAGGTAGACTCCTACCTGTCTGCGTCTAATGGCTTCCCGTAATAGATATACCACGTCTTGGCCCTCGCAGCCTGATGCACTGAACCCCTTAGTCCAGTTCAGGAGAATGGCCTGAGATGGGATCAAGCAGACACAAATGTTACTCTGCCTCATCAACCCGATATCCCGCCAGAAGTACACAGTCTCCGCCCTTCGCATGCAGGATTCCTTGCTCACTTTGTCCTGTGGTGGAAGGCCTTGCTTTCTCTCCCCTCTCAACTCCCTAGGAAACTTTCAGTGTGAAGAAGCCTATTAGTAACAACTCGACCTCTGCCTTCCATTATTAGTTCCCGAATGCTCAGGCGGTCTGAGGTCTGGCCCTTTTAAGATGCTTGCCCAGAAGGAATGGCCCTTTGGAACTGGGCTAGGAATGAACAGAACTGGCAGACTGATTGCTGCATGCAGGAAAGAGGAGGATGGAGAAACTTTAGAGGCCCAAATGTCAGCAAATCCCACCCTTTCAAAGGAAAATTCCAGAAGTCACTTCAAAGGAAGGACTTCTCAGGGTTAGGCATGGTCATTTCAGTGTGAAATTCCATCAGCTGTTCCAGAAGCCAGCCACCTGGGCAGGGTAGGGGGGTGAGGTAGATGCATCTTTCTTGTGAGCAATGGGACTTAGTAACAAGGGACAGACCTGTACCTGGAAAGGGGCTGTACTGTCTCTTTGTGTATTTCTGAGGGAAAGGGTAGGAGGGTGTCCAAGGAAAATGGCGCTGTGCAGGACCTCCCACATACAAGTGTCCAATTACTGAACCATATCCCCAGCAAGAACATGGGCTCCACACACAAGCTATATTCAGTTACAAAAAAAATCAATTAGGCAGTATTTTTTGCTTGCCCAGATTTGTACGCTGAGACACACTTCCCATATCTTATGGAGAACAGTTAAAGGAAGTGAGCACACTTGGCCTAGAGGAGAGACTAGGCAGCTGCACCATCCAGACCATGGTGTAGAAGACAGCAGAAAAAACAGCTGTGCTTCACAGAAGTCAGAACAGGAGCACAGGGTGAAAACAACACATGCAGTCTGGTGGGGAGATAAAGATCGTTGTGGCCGAAAGACAACTGAGGATACAGCAGAGGCCTTCACGGGCAGCAGGCTCCTCAGCATGAAAAGCTTCCAGACAAAAGCTGGAGGTGCTGAGTTTCCTGGGAGCTTGGACAACTGGCCCAAGACTAGCTGTTTTGGTGCCAGATTCTGGAGGCATGCACTGGGAAGTCTACTATACAAGGTTGAAGGATATAATGTGTCTTGATAAGAATGTGTACTGCTGCCTAGATCAGGCACTCAGCACTGTGTCAAGCTGAGAAGCAAGCAAGCAAAGAAACATGTGACCTCGAGCCTCTTCTGGTGAAAGGAACAAATGCTGCTTCCTGAAGACAGACAGCAGAGGCAAGGATGAACACCAGAGGCAAGGCCAAACTAGGCAATCTATCTTCTGGTCAGCACCAACCTAGCCAATGCTGTTCTGAAATGCCTGCTACCCTAACCATGGGCACACCATCTTTGGAAAAAGCCAGGATTGCATATGGTCCTAGCTCAGCAATGCTGCTGCTTCCCTTACTCAGTTTTCCTTGACCCCCTGCCCACTTTTTTAAGGATATAGAGACTGGAGGCCCTTGGGAATCACATCTTGGATTTAACTTCCTTACCTGGTCCAGACCAAGCTGCTTGCATGGAAAGGAAAAGGTGAATCCCATGGGTAGGCTCTGTCCACTCAGGCCCTGACTCTGCTCGAAATCCACAATGCAGTCCACAATATGATCAAAGAGCTGCAGGATAGGCTGTGTCAAGGGGTGGGCTCTCTCCCCACCTTCTCCTCCTCTAACACCAGGGCCCAAACTGTGAGTACCTGCTGTCCAGAGCCCTGGGCTGCATACTCAGGGATAGAGTAGATCTGGTTGGTGATCTGCACACTGCCCTCAGCCACACGTACCAACAGGACCCGGAAGTTGGTGCCCCCTAGGTCCAAGGCCAGGAAATCACCTCGCTCTGTGGGACAGAAACCATCAGTACTAGGAAAGAAAAGGTGGCTTGGCTCCAGCCCTAGCACATGGTGTGACTCCCAGTAACCCCCATCCCAGGTCCATACTCAGGCCAGGTGCTTACCACTGCCATCAGGTGTGGCTCGTACGTAAGTGGGCAGCATGCGGAGGGAGGAGGCCTCTCCTTGAAGCCCCTTGATCATAGCTGTCCGCATCTCTGCCTGCACCATTTTCAGCTGCTCGAAGCTCAGCCGAAATGGTGCCAGGGTCTCCTCCAGGATGCGCTTGTGGGCAGCCAGGCGGGCAGCCACAGCTGTCAGGATTGCCACACCCCGGCTACCATCATCCACCGAAGGGATGAAAGAAACATCACATTCTGGGACCAAGAGCCTTACCATCTCCTTTAGAGTGTGGTGGAACCTACATAAACACACCAGGTGCACTCAACGTGGCATCTGGGCCTATGGCCTGATGCAGCCCTACATCTTGTCATTTTAGACAAATTCAGTCCTAAACCTATCCCTTGGCACCAACCATACATCCACTGCTCTCAGTGCCCCTTTCCCAGGCACACACAAAAAGAAACATTTTTTCTCTCCCTGCATGCCTCCTGGCCTCCCACAGCCTAGTTTAACTCTCGCTCTGCCATTGACATTCACCAGCTTGCACACATGATATCAGAACACCCTCTGGGTACATATCATACACACACACACACACATACACACACATACGCACACACACGCACACACACGCTACCTGCTCACATAGGATCCTGTTCTCACAGTACCTGGAGTGTTTTTCAAGCACTCGCCCTCCAGTGGCCACGGCCACACACAGTGTCTGCTGCTCCCTGCTGCGCTGGAGACGGGATAGGATTGCAGCCAGGGCAGCCGCACAGAGCTGGGCAGCCCGTGTGCACACCGCCACACACACATGCTGCACGTGTTCAACATCTGAGGCCCTAGGGCTCAGACCCAAGTCCTGCAGGACTGCGTGGATCTGGGCTGTCCCAGTGGTGGAGCTGCAGGGAGGAGGGGAAGACGCACGAGGTGCTGGTTTGCAGCTCAGGTCACCTAGGAGCTGCCAATCTCACCAAAGCTCCACAGCTACCTTGGGCAGAGAGTACCTTACCCTCTCCCAAGCAGGCTCCCCTTGTCTCTTGTCTAGCTGCCTGCTCCCTTACTTACTCCTCCATTTTGATCACATGTTCCAGGAGGATGCTGCCTTGACTCAGTAAGGCAGGAGAAGTGCAGCCGCCAAAGAGGATTCCATGCTGGGCCAAGTGGACCAGGACAAGCCTCACCAGTTCACCCAAGTACAAGCCCCCAATCATCTTCTCGAACCTACAGTGGAACAGGGAACTGGACAATGCCCTTTGAATGCCCTCAGCCCACTCGAGTCTTCCAAGAGGAATTACTATGTTTAATGTCCCAGAAGCAAATGACCTCCCAGAGGACAAGCAGGTTTACCCTTTCTAACCCTTTGGGTTGCATCTGGGGGTCTCCTAGAAAGGCAAGAGACATCTCACTCAGCTGTTTTCAATTCCTAACCCCCAACCTGCCAGGGCTGACTATTAGGATCAAGGATTTTAAAACTGGGTTCTAGCATTCTGAGGCTTTCCTTCCTTGAATTTGATCTGGGACCCCCCCCCCCCACACACACACAGGGCAAGCTGCAGACCCTTAGAAGGACAGGAAGAGGTAGGGCCCAAGAGTAAAAGGTAGGTTAGAACAGGAATATGACAGGGCCTGGAGCAGAGCCAGGGAAACCATCAGGCCCCCACCTCTGAACACCAGGAACTAGGGATCCGCGGTCCAGGGCATGGTCAAAGGTGGTCAGGACTGGCCCGAGGGCCTCCTCATCATAGAAGGAGCCCCACTCGATGTTGATGCAGGTGCGGCCACGGTCCTCATCCAGAGCTTTCACGTGCCATGCCTCCTCCATGTAACATGCATTGGTGCCAGTGTCTGGCAGGGAAGACCCCATCAGAGCCTTGCCCACCAAGCAGCCACCACCCTTCATCATGAATGACCCACAGCTCACCTACAATAAGCCCAACTTCACAAGGCTTGGTGCCACATTTACAGTCCATCATGATGCCCACTGTGTCATTCACCATGGCCACCACATCAATACTGTAGGCCTGGACAATGGAGAGAACAGGGAGGCAGAGCCAGCTGGGTGGCTAGAGGGCCGAGGCTTTGAAGGAGATACCCAAAGTCCATGAAATGTCTCCATGCCCCACACTTAGACCCTGGGTCCCGTGATCTAGGTTCTCCTTCCATCCCATCCCCCAATTCAGGCTCTCAGGATCACAGAGGTTCCTACCCATAGGAAGGGAAGGACCAGGAAGATGGTCCCACAGCCGAGTGCCTCCTTGAAGACTGACCCATGCTTGCCTCACCCACACCCTGGCCTGGCACCCCAAACTACCTTCTAACCTGACTTCTAAACAGAGCCTTGGGGTTAGTTGGAAAGGACCTGCCCTTCTAGAGCACTGGGATTTGGACATTACATGCTTTTCTTACATTTGCTCTGCGTCCCAAGCCTCAGCTCAGGCATAAGACTAACTGCTCCTTGCCTGCACCCTCTGCTGCTACTAGAGTCTTCTGAACATGGGCAATCTTTTATTAGAATACTTTCCCTTCTAGAAGGTGAGGATCTTGAAGGCTGAGTCATAGGATTTTTTCCCCCATGTTCTGTTTCTGTCCCAGACCCCTCCCCCAGGGTACGATCATGTTATTGGAGTCTTTCTTAGCCTCTGTCTCATTGATTGCTATGGGAGCAACATTAACCCCAGGGTCAAACTGGATAAAGGCCATGCATAGGAAAAAAAAGTCAGACCTTCCAGAAACACAGGCATCACCTACAGATGCCAAGCCCAGGCCAGCAGGGGCAGCTTCCGTCACCCTGACCTTCACTCACCTTCTGCCTCTGAATGGCCTGTCTTAGCAGCTGGACCACATCCTGGCCTTCCACACCACTGCACCTAAAGCCTTTTGTCCAGGAAATGAGGGTGCTCTGGGGACAGAAAACGGGGTTATTTTTTTCCCTTGTGGCTGTCATGAGAGCTGCAGTCTCTTTCCACTCACTGGCCCCGATGTGCCCCCACCTCACCCTGTCCAAGCCCTTCTGGTGACAAGGAAAAGGGAAATTGAACCCAAGCTTCAGATCCTGATTCTTCAAGGTGTGTGCATCCAGGAATTCAGACAGGCAGTGGGCAGCAAAGTCAAAGAGCTGCGGAAACAAGGTGACCCCTTAACCCTGACCACCTGAGCCTGGGCCACCCCACCATGTCTCAAGCCCCAGAGGATGCACAGTGGCTGCTCACCTGCTCGCCAGTACCTAGCATCACCTCTTGAGGAATCACGAACTCCTGGCTCTTGGGCTCCACACTCTGTTCTTTGGTGTCTGTCAGTGTCACCCACAACACACGCAACGAGGCTCCTTTAGCCCCCAGCTCCAATACCAGGAAGTCTCCCTGCTCTAGAGGGCAAACAGGTCATAGAAAGACATGCAGTTGGCCACACCAAAGCTGCCTGCCTCCCAGGAAGGCTTCCAAAGTCTGAGAAGTTCAGTAAAAGGGGCCTTAGCGATGGTGGACAGAGATAAGGAACTACCCCTTCCCCCAGACCAGAACACATTCTTCATGCCTGGCCACCATGCTAGTCTGTGCTACCCACCAGTGCCATTTGGCATGGACCCCATATATGTGGGCAACATCTGGACAGAAGGGGCGGGACTGTCCTGTCCCTTCAGGGCCTGTTCCATGGAGCACAGAAGACTGGCTTGGATCTGCTGCAACTGTGTCCTTGTCACTTTGAATTGGTTCAAGCATTCCTGTACCTAGGAAGAAGTAAGCCAACATTGGGGAGGGACCCAACTTCAGCTGGGACAGAGGACTGTCCTGCCTGGCTCACCCCCTGCCTCCTTAGGCCCTCCACTTTCCAGGGGCTGGCTAGCATCCTGCTCTATTCTCCCTGAGCCTCACTGGTCTTCTGGTTCCCCTTCTTGTGTGCCTTGGCTGTCTTGCTGTTCAAAGCCTACCCCAAGCTCCTGCATCCTCAGAAGGTTCCTAGGAAGAGAAGCCACCTCCCTCTTTGTGTTCCACATCCTGGACTTCCTCTCAGCTCCCACATCCTTTCCCCTGACCGCCTAGATTTTGAAATGGAAGGTTTGGTGAACCTCTCTCCTGCTGCTGTAACTGCTTTCCCGTTGTCCAGAACAAGAGTTCTGTAGCTGTCTCTTTGTAAGCTATCAATGAGTGAGCAGATGGATGAACAAACTTTGCCCCCTAGAGCTTGCCTCCCCCAACCCTCTCACAGACTCTGGAGCCTGAATAAGCCCACCACAGGGATATGCACAGGCCACAGAGCAGGAGATGGCCTTCCCTTCGGTTGGTTATTCTTTTCAACACAACAACTAAGCCCTGTCAAACACCTAGTGCCATTCCAAACTGCCCACCATGCAGCTAAACAAGTCCGGCTCCTGCTGAGCTCTGCCGATTCCCTTGTGCAAGACAGAGTCAACATACAATATGATTCTGGTACTGACTGGCTACTGAAAACGGAGATACAGGATCAAAAATGTGTGACTGGGCGGGGGGGGGGGGGGAAGTCACATCTAAGATAGGAGTGAAGAAGGCTTTACAAGTGGTGACCTAAATGATGGAAGAGACTCAGCCATCTGATGTCCCGGGGGAAGGGAATAAAAGATTTTCTCCAGAGCATCTCCACGGAAATGGGTTGGGGGTCATGGGCCTGGCATGGATCAAGCTTGATGGGAAAGCTGAGAGGCTGAGAGGTGACGGATGTGACATCCCAGGTTCTCACACTACTAGAAGCCCAAGAAATAGGGAGACCACAGATCTCAGCTCTGTAAAGAAACTTCCCTTGGCTGACCCTCTTGTTCATCCACCAAAGAAGCCTGTATTTGTTGGAGAGACACAGCTCGGTAGCTCCACCTGTATTAGATCCCCCCCCACCCAGGCCCCATCTCCTGTGCCACAGGAATTCTATTCTGAAGACCCATTCCCCCAACCGGACACAAATCTGACACCTGGAGAACAAAGTCCCCCTAAGGCAGTGGTTCTTAACCTGTGGGTCGTGATCCCTTAGGGAGTCAACAACCTTCTCAAAGGGGTTGCCGAAGACCATGAAAAAACACAGATGTTTGTATTATGTTCATAACAATATCAAAATTATAGTTATGAAGTAGTAACCACAATAATTTTACAGTTGGGGGTCACCACAACACGAGGAACTGTGCCAGAAGGTCGCAGCAGGGCTGAGAAAGGGAGGTGAATAGGACTCAATGCCAGCCTCTTTTTATAAGGAGTCAGGGGTAGTTCCCCAAGGAGACAAATCGTGCTAACAGGAGTCCCAGACACCCTGTTTTGTTTACACGGGAACAGACGCTTCCAGAGACCAGGAGTGGGTGTTTCTGTGTTATAAATGAGGAAACTGAGGCTCAGAGAGAGTAAGCCATCTGCCCAGCCCAAGGAGCTCTGAAGGGGAAGGGTGGATTGTGAAACCAGGTTGATTTGACTGCAAAGACGTTCTCCTATCAATGGGAGGCTTGGTAAGAACCCAGCACTTCCCTTGAAAAAAACAAGCATGATGAACACACGCACAAAGACAGAAGGGCTTCTCTAGTAGACTCCAGTAGGGTGTACACTATCCAGATGCCGTCAGAACCTCTCCTTTCTGCCCGCACTGGAGCTGGAGGGGGAGACCTCATTCAGCAGAGTAAGGAGAAAAAGGTATTGGAGAGTGTGTGAAGCCCAAGATGGTCTCCATGCTGACTGTTCTAATGAACCTGCTGTACCCATCAGCTTGGCTCCATCACATCCATCACCTGTTTGAGTGAGTGACCTCCTCTAGCAGGTGGAGACAGTAATAGTGCGAAGGCAGCAAGGACACCGTGAGGACAGAAATCAATGCCAGGACAGTATGTGACACACATGTGCAGTGAGGTAAGGGTTCTTTCTTCAGCCCATGGGACACAATCACTCTAGAGGGCCTGACTCTATGCCCTCAGGGAACAAAAAGAGACTTCTGCAAAGGCCTGGAAAGGGACTCAAAGATGTAGCAAGACACTGATGACATGCGATTATCGCCCCCTCCCCGCCCAGCTATGGAAAGGGAGTCTGAAGTGAGGCCAGGGTATTGAGTGGGGTCCCTGGCTATAGAGCATTTGTTATTCCTGTAAAGCCCCACAAAGCCATAGGGAATTTGTTAAACTGCAGGTGCATACAATAAAGCCAACACGGCAGATGGGCGACCTGTGCAGAGGCCTCAGGAGGAAAGGGAAGGAGGTGAGAAGGGACATGATAATGGCCCGGGAACAAGCCCTGGGACAGTAGCCGTTGCTCATTTCTGGGGCCCAGCTATGGGCAGGACATAGAGAAATGTTGACAGCAGGGCCTGAGGCACAGGTTGCACAAAGGAAGGGGGATGTGCATGTGTGAAATTTAGTGACAGTAATGCCACCACAGTTGGATAACACACCTAGTAAGCATATCTCAGAACAAGACAGGAAACTACAGGAACTACACACCGGGAATGGTCCGAGACCACGTGCATAGGTATGAGGCTTTTTTTTTTTTTTAATTTGAGGAGAACATTCAAATAATTCAAGTTACTTTCCTCTGCTTTCTGATGAGGAAATGGAGACCAAGAGTTATGAAATGGTTTACATAAGCATTTTCTGCTCCAGGGTGTGGTAGGTGAAGACTTCTCCAGAATCTTAGTCAAGAAGGGAAAGGCTGGAGATGTAGTAAGGGCAAAGCACTCAGCCAGCATACAGTGGACCCAACCCTTACACAGCAAGAGACAACAAGACACAATCAAAAGGAGAGAAGAAAAGAAACATAAAGGAGGGATGGGAGGAGAGAGAGGGAAGGAGGGAGGGAGAGGGAGGGAAAGAAAGAGACTTCTAAGGAAACCAAACCAGTTCAGCCCTTTGTCACCTCTGGTGCCGACTGCAGTGACAGTTGAGGGGACTGCCAGAGAGAGACTGGAGAGAAGGGGACGCAAGGGCTCAGCTCCTAGCCTACCGTGTGTGTGCAAGTGTAAATGTGAATATAGTATAACATTTACTTATAACATATTAAGAAATGGTAATATTAGATGGTAAGAAAGGATGGAATGCAGCCAAAGGATACATGAATCATGAAAAGGGTTATAAGGTTAATTTCTGAAAGCTTCAGTTCTATCAGTTTCTTTTTTTTTTCTTTCTTCTTCTTCCATTTTTGTAGTGGATAAGTCTGTAAAAGTGTAATTGGTAGTGAAAGTGTAATCACTTTTACAAGAAAACCCTTTATTTTACTTTCTTTTTAAGGAAGATGTGGAGGGCCCATTCTGGATATGTCTGACCTCATAGGGCGGGTACAACATCTATGTGGCAAGCTGGCAAAAGGTTAAAGTTAATCCGTACTCTTTTTTTTTTTTGGTTTTTCAAGACAGGGTTTCTCTGTAGCTTTGAAGTCTCTCCTGGAACTCTCTCTGTAGACCAGGCTGGCCTCAAACTCACAGAGATCCACCTGTCTCTGCCTCCCAAGTGCTGGGATTAGAGGCATGCACCACCACCACCCAGCTTCAACCTCTTATGTCTTAAATGAGTCACTTTTCATCTCTAAGGCCCGCCCCCCAGAACCAATCTACCCCTTGCAGTTACTGGACTCTCAAAGAAAAGAGATCAGAGATTAGCAGTTCAGCAAACGGCAAAGGCCACGAGTGTGTGAGCCCAGCCACCCATACCTCTAGTCACCCTATCTGTGATAGTTATAAATAAGTGCAGAATTGGAACCCAGTGCTAGGCTTACCCGTTCTGAGCTATCTGAGGGCTTTGACATGCTCTCCTGTGGGGATCTTGAGGCACTTCCTCCGGGTTGCAAACCAGCAGGCCTAGTGTTGTTCATGTTCCTGCAATGAATATTGACTACCTGTAAGGAAAAAGGGATAGCTAGATTCAAGAACATTTACTCTATAGGCTCCAAGAGGCAATAACCCAGACCTTGAACTTCTTTCCTTCCAAAGAGGACCAAGAAGGGAGTTGCAAACAGAACTGAAAACTCCTGACAGTGAGGACCCTTTAGCAATCCACCAGGAAGCAGTTGTTTTCCAGAAGCATGTGTAACGAGAGAGCATGGGAAAGCTGACTCCAAGTTCAAATGTTCATTCACACAGATTCTCTGCTTTCCAACACCCACCATGCACAATGCTGGTAAAGCAGATTCAGGCCCTGCCCTCGGGGTTCTCACAGCCTTACCCAGCATCACAGTAGGACTGGCACAAACAAAACACAGAACACATAAATGTGTTGCTGTGACTGAGAGGTCAGGGGTCTGGGAGAGGTGACAAACTGTAAAGTAAGCAGGGACCAAAAACCAAGCAGGCTGGCTTTCAGGACAAGCAGTTAAGTGCCACCCCGAGGAAGAAAAATATGAGTCAGAGAGTATGCAAAGGCGTCTGTGCTTTAGACATTGAATCTGTTCTCCAGAAAAGGGAGTTACTGATGGCGTGAGCTTGGACGAGGCATTGGTGACTTTGCACTTCAGCTTCCACAGCTGTATTGCACAGATGGTGCCTACCCTCATAAGGCTGCTGTTACACCAAACAGCACAAGACCTAGGAGATATTCTGTAAAAATTCAGTGTGCAACAAAAACCTTGACTCATGGCTAGGTTTTGGACAGGACAGTGAAGCAGAATGGAGAAGCCTGTGCTTGGAGTCAGGACCCCAGCTCTCCATAAGATGGCTGCACAAGGCCTCCCAAACTTGAGGCCCCATTTTCCTCATCTGTGAAATTAGGATCAATATGCCAGAAGGCTACATGGAACAAAAGAGAACAAAAAGATCTAGTTTAGAGTGCAGGTTGACATCTATAGCATAATCTGAACTGAAACTCAATTATCCTCGGTTCTCTCTCAAACACATGAAAACATTACAGAGAATTACAGAGAATGACAGGAGCAGAGAGCAAGGAAGGTACCTTAAAAGAGGGAAACCAGGCACTAGGGAAATTCCCAGGAATCCACAAGGGTGACTCTAGCTAAGAATCTAAGCAACAGTGACGAGGGTGCTTTAACTGCCATTAGTCAGATTGAAGACTCCCTTAATTGACATCATAGAACCCTCATCCAGCAACTGATGGAAGCAGATGCGGAAATCCACAGCTAAACACTGGGCCGAACTCCTGGAGTCCAGTCATAGAGAGGGGGGAGTAATAATATAAGCAAAGGGGCCAAGACCATGATGGGAATACCCACAGAAACAGCTGACCTGAGCTAGTGGGAGCTCACTGACTCCAGACTGACAGCTGGGGAACCTGCATAAGACAGAACTAGGGGCTGGGCAGCGGTGGCACACGCCTTTAATCCCAGCACTTGGGAGGCAGAGGCAGGTGGATCTCTGTGAATTCAAGGCCAGCCTGGTCTACAAGAGCTAGTTCCAGGACTGGATCCAAAGCTACAGAGGAATCCTGTCTCAAAAAACAAAACAAAACAAAACAAAAAGACAGAACTAGGTCCTCTCAGTGTGGGTGGCTCGGGCAGTCTGTGGGACCACTAGCAGTGAACCAGTATCTAGTGCAGGAACTTGCTCAGCTCAGATACAGGGAGGAGGGTCTTGGTCCTGCCTAAAGTGATGTGGCAGACTTTGTTGACTCCCCATGGGAGGTCTCACCCTCTCTGAGGAGTGGAAGGGAGGTGGGGTGGGGTGAATGTGGGGAGAAGGAAGAGGAAACTGGGATTGGTATATAAAATAAGATTGTTTTAAAAATTAGAAAAAGATTATCAGGAGCACCAGGTTTCTCCCTAATCAAATAATGTCTGCCTCTATTGAGATATCTCTTTCATTGCTCTCCCTCTCCATCCCTCCCCCAGCTTGGCCATCTTAATCCCTCATGTTCCCATCCATATCCCCTCCCTTCTACCCACCCACCCCTAGCTTACCCAGATCTTAACTATTTCCTCTTCTTGCATGTTGTTCCTCTTAGGGTCCTCACATCTACAAGGATGACTCCATCTAGGACTCCTAGCAGTAGCAAGAGAGGGTGCCTGAACTGGCCTGCTCCTGTAATCAGATCAGTGACTATCCTAACTGTCATCATAGAACCTATATTCAGTAACTGTTGGAAGCAGATGCAGAGATCCAAAGGCAAGCACTGGGCTGAGCTCCTGAAGTTCAGCTGAAGAGAGGGAGGAGGATCATCTGAGCAAGGGAGGTCAAGATCAAGATGGGGAAAACCATAGACAGCAAACCTGAGCTAGCGGGAGCTCACAGACTATGGACTGACAGCTGGGGAACCTGAATGGGACCAAACTAGGCCCTCTGAATGTGGGTGACAGCTGTGAGGCTTGATCTGTTTGTGGGACCCCTTGGCAGTGAGACCAGGACTTATTCTGGGTGCATGAACTAGCTTTTAGGAGCCCATTCCCTATAGAGGAATGCCTTGCTCAGCCTTGATGCAGGGGGGAGAGGCACTTTGTTGACTCCCCAAGGGAGGCCTTACACCCTCTAAGGAGAGGATGGGAGGGGGTGAGAAGGTAGGAAGGTGGGAGAAGGGAAGGGAGGGGGAACTGGTGTTGGTGTAAAACGAAAAAAAAATTTTTTTAAAATGACAGGAGCTAGTGAATCTTGTCATGGTATAAGAGTCTATAGAATGCCGGGTGTTCAGCTTAGCTAAGCTACTGCTGCTATGGTACTACTGTTGCAGCTAGTCCTAGGGGAGTCTACAGTAGCTCTGATGCCATTCAGATGTGAAGGAGGACAATCCAGTAGACAGGTCATGATGGCACAACAGTCCACTGGGCACTCTACCTTCATTACAAAAACAAAACATAAAGCATTCTCTCCAACCCTGCATTTTCTCCCCACTTCTCCCCCTTCTGCCCAATCGTAAGCCTCTGGAGTCCCTCTGTTCCTGCCTTGGCTCCTGCAGACAATGGTCGTCATCACTAACTCCTCTCCTCTGCCTTTAGAGAGGCAGGGGGGTTTCCAAGCTTTGGGTGGTGCCTTTCTCTACACTCCCTTCCCCACCACTAAAACCTGTGTCAGGGCTCCCAAGCAGCCACTGACCTCAGTCACCTGCTAACCGCAGGGTCTGTGAGACTTCACTCTCCTTCTGGAGAGAGGTCCTCCAGCTCAGCACAGGCAGACTCATCTCCCCACACATCTGCTCCTCACCTTGACTAGACACATCAGGAGGATAATTGGGAAGGGGGCAGTCACTTATGACCTAACTGGGGCTCCTCTCCTTCCTGTCCCCACCACCACTGACTGTTCCAACAATCCTGAGTGATAGCTCTGCTTCCTCAGAGTGAATCTCGCCCCGCTTACACTATCATGGCTCCCTGCAGACAGAGCAGAACTCTGGTGGATTGCAGGACCCTCATGTGCCCTGACCCTGGCTTTCCTCTTCCTGCTCCTCACTGATTCCTGGTCTTCTACTTTTCAGTCTTCACTGCTCCCCAGTCTGGAGGACTAGCCTGAGAACCTTGTGATATCTGAGTCACCTCTGCATCTTCGATGCCAGGACAGGGTTGGGCAAATTTAGGCCTAGGGCTCACACCTGTAAACCCAGCACTTCGTTTTGGTTGGCTGAGGCAGGAGTGTCATGAGTTTGAAGGCAACCTGGGCCACACAGTGAGACCCTGTCTCAAAAGGCAGCAGTAATTTGGTAAACCAAATTACATATGCCAGCACTTAGTTTCCAAATCTACCGGAAGAGGACACATATTCAAAGAGCCTGTTCAAAGATAAAATGAGGCAACTGAAGTCATCACTTTTGCTCCAGGCCCAGCCAGCATAATCATTCTCTTACTCGCCCGCTCACACACACAGCATTTACTCAGCAAGTGGCAGACTATGACGCTCCCTCCAAGGAGCCACAGAATTTAAACTCTAGGTCAATGTATTCAGGCCTGTCTCTTCCTAGAGTGAGAGACATGTCTTCATTTCTCCATCATCAGAAACAGGCCCAAAGTCTGCCCATGTTTGAACTAAATCAGTGACATGGAGTGAGTGCTCCTTTTGAATGACATCCTAGAGACCCCTCCTGAGACTGGTACTGCCATTACCATTGAGGACTAGTGTCTTGCTAGACTCCATTGGCTAGAGGATAAGCCAAGGAGGAGGGCTTGGGATGAGACATGCAGGAAATAGAAGATATATTTACCTGGGAGATTTGAAAGTTGATTACTTTCCTCTGTCTCAGCTTTTCTCTGAAATGAGGACAGCGGCGACCCTGGACTGAACTCAAAAGTGAAACTCGGGGATGACTTTTATAAACTCCCCAAGCTCCACCTTCTTCAGCCACCACTTAACAGACATAGGCTAATTCAGGAAAGTGTACTTCCCCACAAGTCTGCCCTAAGATGAGCCCAGGGTGGGCAGGACCATGGCACAAACAATTAAAATGAACACAGGAAGTTGAAGGCTCCAGTTGGGTTGGCTCCAAAACATTCTCTCTACAATGCTAGGAGCTCTGTTTGTTTTATGAACACTAAGTTTTGAAGTGGTAAGTTCCTTTGAAAGAAGCGGAGACATGCCTGGAAATATGTGGTTGCAATTGGCAACTTTTCAAAATGTAGCAAGTAAACATGTAAGCAGCGATGTGGGAACCTAAGAGGAAGGGCCATCATGACTCTGCAGGAGTGAGCAGGGCAAGTTAAAGAAGTCCTTTCACAAAGAATGCATGCATACAACCAGTGGTCAGACAGACAGATAGTTCTCAGAGCATCATGAAGGTGCCCATAGGTGGGATGCCCAGCAAAAAGGTGACAGCCAGATCACAGAGTCTAGCCTTGCGTCTGAAAGCGAGGTAGGGTGAGTGGTTTGTCTGCACGTCTTCCCTGCTGGAAAATGAAGCTTCTGTGGAGCTACTGGACACTATGCTCTTATTCCATTTAGCTATTTTCCTGAAATGCAATCTTGGG